TTTATCAGGGACTATATATTTCATTATAAAATATATGTTCTTTATATGTCCTATGAAAAAAAAAGACCCGAGTAAAAAGTATTTAAAGATTTTATAAACCAATTTTACGTAAATTTTGATTACAAACTTGCCTACCTTGTGGGAAGGAAGGAATGTATTCCTAAATTGATATAGGAAAACATAAGGAAACACTTTTGTCACGGGAGTCAAACAGCGAGTTTTAATAAAACTTTTCTCTTCTATTACTCGTATATGAAAAGAAGAATGTCTTTGATGGTATAAGACATGTGAAATGTGTATTCCATTTCTCATGTTCGACATAAGAATTTTGCTTTGACTACTTTTATCCGACGGCGGTGAAGCCCGAAAGGGATATGTAGGATGTAATTGGATGACAGGATATATGTAGGTGCCTATGTTGTAACGTATTCAAGCACTCTAACAGTTCTTAAAGGTTGACTGGCAGGGAATGCTTTTAACATTAAATCCGCCTTATAGGAACTCCTACGATGTGCATTCTTTCCTACACAGCGTTAGTCTTAATGGATATACTTTTCCGAAGAACTTAGTTGAAATCTTTAAATAATTTATGATCCATTCATGTAAACCACGTAGTTACGAGATCGATATGAATGATTTAAAAAATAGTTTAACATCATCATTGTGGAGCTGGATAGCTGGAACCATGGTTTGTCCTACGTAAACTAATTATAAATCATTCAATTTTATCGTAATGAATATCAAATGCCATTTTCCGTGAGGATGGGAATCGATCTGATGGTGTGGCCTTAGACTTGGGGACATGAGATGCGACGTTTACGTTTTTTTTTTGTAATGGATGGTAATGGAATGGTAACCCCGCCTGCGCTAACGGTATACGCTGGTGAGTGATGATGAATACACCTTGAATTTAGCACGATAATTTCTAGGCGAGACCACGTGGAGGTCAACCTGATAGGATATATTATTAGCAATGGGACTGGTAGTCCGCATTACCAACAATCCCTTTCCCTCCTCCCCGTGTAAATATGTTAGCTCCGAGTCTTTTAACCGGGTCAACCTTTCGTTCAGGTGCGGCGACTGTGTACAGTGTAAAACCTTTGCTTGACTTACGAGATGACAGAGACTCAATGTTACTTCATAAGTTAGAGTACATATACAACATACTCCGAATAATACTAACATCTTGACTCCGTGATGACCTCCGTAGCGGTAGGTATACTGCATTACGTAATCAGCCTCTGGTTTCGATTCTCGGTCGGGCCAATTTAGGAAATGAACTTTTGGATAGAAGTTGGAAGTTTCGATCTATGCTCCCAGATGTTCGTTGTCTATTTCCTTATATCACAGAATATCTTTGCTTGGAGATCAAGTGACTGGTGTGCTTTTGTAGCATATTAAATTTCTTCAAAAATAATTTATTTTCTGTTCCTTCTACTTTCATTATTACTTTTTATCTACAACAAATTTCAAATTTTATCACTGCATAATTACATTTCTGTTTTACCAAAGGTTGACTAGAAGGGAATGCAGTATAGCATTAAATTCACCTTTTGTACCAAACGTACTTTTTTAAAGTGGCCAATAAAAATTAATATGATTCCATTGTCCACAAATATTACTGACTTAAATTATAACAAACTTACCTAAACGAATCAAAGTATATTTAGACCGTCGTTCAATATTGCTTTTAATTAATTTATCATGTGATACTGTATGCTGTCACGATACATTTACCCACCCTTCAAAGAAGTACAAAAACATTGTAACAGTTAAATAATAAAGCAGCTGACGGCCAATTTCCGTCCGTTCAGGACTTCTTTGCTTCGATCGCCTATTTTAAGGTAATTGATTCAACTTACCTTCCCCTTGGCCTTCACTTGTTATTGACTGTAACGTAAATAACCAACTTCGACACAACGATTTTGTACTGGCCGAAAACTGGTCCCAACTAATAAGTATATAATTTTGGAAGGAACGAATCGGTCTTAATTTGGTTTGAATCGTTTTTTTTCTCGTTTCCATGAAAGTTATAATAATAATAATAATAAGTTGCCATTAGTTGCCATCTCCTCTCCTTAAGAGGGGAGATGAGAATTTTAGTAAAATTTAAAAAATAATAATAATAATATAATTTAATTTATTTGCTGACATAATTATTGCTGATATGATAATATAATTTATTTGCTGATTTAGTTCTTGTTGATATTTGAATGTTTGTTATTCAATTATGCTTTAATTGATGAATACGTTTACATCGACGAATCATATTTATATGCATACTACCTAACCGGAAAAAGTTGGGTGAACAGGGATTGTTAGTAATGAGATCTAACCGATCCAATATATCCTAACGTTTGTTTCTTTCATAGGTTCACAATCACGGACAAAAACCTATTGTGTAATAAAAATACGACAATAAAAGCAAAAAGTAACGTTTCGCTTCGTGTTTTCTTTTATAAGCCACATTTTATTCTGGTGGTTATAACATCCATTAATACATTTAACAAATAGCTAACACGTATAATTTAAGTAACTACCATGTCTCTCGGCAGTTAGGTATGTTTGGTTGACATGTTTTATTGATAGTATTGCATCGTGTCGCCTTCTAATACGTAGAATACATGCAATATTGGAAAAAACGAGGTCGCTTCTTAATATATGTATGCTTTATCGAATTCGACTTTGTAATACAAAGCAAATCAACCATCATTACATTACAATTGCATTTTTATTTTTACTGACTTCCAAAAGTAGGAGTTCTGTTTATTTATTTATTTTACACTTTATTGCACCATTTCTAATATAATAAATACAGTTAATTTTAATGAGAAGTCATACAAATGTTGACCTTATCGCCTTATCGCGTTTATTCTCAGTTATAGTTGTAATAGTTTTTTTATTGTAGTAACTAGCTGTATTCCGCGGTTTCGTCCGTGATATTGAATAAACTTCCTCAGGAAATGAGCTAATCAAAAAGATTTTTTCTAATCTGATTAATTCCAAAGATTAATAAACAAACAAAGAAATTTTTATACTTTATATATTAGTATAGATTGGGTAGTTTTCTATCATGTTATACTAATATTAACTGAATAGATTTTAATTTACCAGAGGGAGACTTTGTACAAAAGTCGATTGCTTGGGTATCTCTGTCCCATTCGTGTTTCAACCGTGAAGCAGTTCTGTTTGCATGGCTGTGTTTCGATTTGAAGGGTGGGATATGGCGTGAAATTACTGGGTACAGAGGAATAACACCTGAGTCCTCAGTAATGGCAACGCATGGGGGGTATCATGGGCGAAACAGTATACTCTGTTATGTCCATGGTACTGCTCATGTCTATAGGCGACGGTTACCACTATCCATCAGGTGCGCCGTCAGCTTGTTTGCCATTCTAAGTAGTATAAACAAAAATACATTTATATTTATTCGTTACTACATAGGTAGGTATATACAATAATATATACAAGGCGGACTTTCACATATATGTGCATGAATTTTGTCAGATTGAACCGTTAGATGATTTTTTTAATTAAGTACATTTTAAACAGCTATGTTTGTATTAAAATAATACGAGTAATACAGAAGTCTTCTTTTGTATTATTATTTTGACACAAGTGGATTCTTACCCACTCTGCAATTGAGGTAGTATGTTTAATGTGTTTTATTTTGTATTTTTGTCTTTCTGATTGGATATCTAATAAAAATTATTATAGAAAATTTAAAGATTGTTCAAGTCAAAGATTTTCACTGACTTAACTAAATGGTGGAGACAAGTGGAACGGAACGATTTTTTGACAATTTTGTTGGTACAAAGTTGCAGGGTGGATCGATGGTAAGGTAGCTTTTTTAATGGGTAAAAATAAAATGCGGCTGCGATGTCGGTATATACTGGCAGAATACCAATGAGGAAAAATAGGAGAGGATGAAGCAGATCAGTTGGCCAATTGTGACGAATTCATAGGGGCAACCGTATCGAGGTCAATTTGATAATGTCTAAAGATTACTCATTTCAATGATTGTGGCTGACATATATATTTTTTTAATACGTTATAGGCCCAAAGTAATAGGGTAAAACCGAGTCAGTGATACAATAGTCCATGTTGTATATCCATAACTATATTTTTTTATGCTATTGAAAATGGAGTTACGTCAAATGACTTATTGTGACGAATTCAAAAGAAATTAATCGCGATGGCTTTCAGGGCGGACTGCTTGGAGGTCGACCTGATAATCTACAACCCATCTATTCATAGCAGCGTTATATTGATAAATCTCGCCTGTCAGTGATCTATGAAGGTGACAGTTATTAAAGTCTACTCTGAGATCGATCCGAAAAGGACAATTGGTAGTACTTACGGATAGCGATGGAAATCCATTTGTGTTTCATATTGAAATGCCAACTCCCTCAGCTATTATGACTAAATAATAGAAAACAAGATACTAGCAACGGAGAAACATGAACTTGAAAGACAATTTTATTTTTGTCTAGTTTTTAATTTTTTAGGTACTTTATTAAAAAAAAAATATTGCATAATTTTTTATGGCACTATAAGAGAGAATTTTTATTTGTTTTATTGAACCATTGGTAATTTGATTAGAATTATTTTGTTTAATTCCGCTACCGTTAGTATGTGTGTGTATTCGAGTGTTCGCAGTCATATACATACTAATGATAGTGGAATTAAACAAAATAATTGTAATCAAATAACCACTTTTTTCTTTTGATGAGTAGAGAATGAAATGCACCTGTCTATACTAATAGCAGTGGGAATTGAAGTCAGATTGTTTTTAGTATAAGATGGTAATTAACCAAATTCTCTAGTGAAACTGATATTTTTGAAAAGGGACTGTTTGGAAGTTGATCTGATAAATTACAATATTAATAGCAATAACGTTACCATTGCTATTCTCAATATATAAAATTAGATACTTCGCCGAAGTAACTAAAACATATTAATACATTAAAAAAAATTATTCATAATCTTTTTTTTTTCAGATCGCAATCAGAGATGAGATGGAGCGCAGCGTCAGCGGTGAGGTGACGAAACAGTCCAAGATGGCACACCACACCGTCGACGCGATACCATGGGGTGGCTAACTCCGTGACCGCTACCGAGACAGACATACGCATTTCGTATGGAGATGAACGGGACGGAAGCGCGGGCCGAGGAGCAGGCGGTGGAGCTCGCGTTGAGCGTGGCCGTCACCGTCATCTCCGCCATTGGATTACTCCTCAACGCCTACATATTGTTTATCATTGTTATCACAAAACAGGTAACTTTTCAAATAAAAATCTACAATCGTATTTTTCAAAGAAAGAGCATATTCTTTTTTAAAAGGCCGGCAGCACACCTGTTCTCTGATGTTGCAGGTATTCGAGGGCGGCGGTAGTCTCTTACCATCAGTCGACCCAATTACTCGTGTGCCCTCGGTGTTTAAAAAAAAAATAAGAGAGAATGGAGTCAATTCTGAAACATCATTCCTTATCTCTATTTCTAAAATTTATATTTGCAGCGAAATGACAATTCTAAGGATCAATAAATAATCTTAATTTTTTGCAGAATTCCGTCAGAACTGCTTTACATTAGAGTTATTATTGATAATAACCTTAGTTGGAAATTTCATATCGATAAAGACTGCAACAAATTTAATAAACTTGTATATGTTTTAAAAAGACTCAAAAATGTAACGAATAACATAATAAAATACGGTTTTAATGGTATACCATGTCTATAGGCGACGGTTACCACTTTCCATCAGGTAGGTCGTCAGCTTGTGTGTCATTCTTAGTTGCATAAAAAAAAAACATACCCTTCTGGTATCAGTTTTAAGGTACGATGTCTTTGTATTGGACAATAGTGGTAATCTGACCAGAGCTTTCATGGTACAAAAATGCTTGCGAGCACTTTGTGGCGCCACTCCGAGCACCACTTGTAAGCCATTGTTTCTGAAATTTGGTCTATTAACTCTGCCATCAATTTATATATTTAGGGTTTGTAATTTTGGTAAATAACATGATGATCTCTTTTCAAAGGCTAAGAATATATATCCGTAACACTCGTAATCCAGAGAGATTAGTATTGGATTATATCTTTCGAACTACTTTGAATCAAAATAATGACGCGGGTATGTAAGTATATAAAAAAATATAACAAAGATCCTAAATTTATTAAACAATGACCATAAAGGGATTTAGAGTAAAATTGCATGAGTGGTTAAAAAGATTTTTACTACATTAAAGATTGTTTAAAATAATTATTTTATACATTGCCATTCCTGAGGACTATGGTATCGTACCACCAAATGAGTGTATCTTAAATATTAAAACTACTTATCAATTAAAAAAAAAATCGAATAGCTTTTAATTTTTTTAAAAGTAATCTGCTTACAAAATAAAACTTTAATTATACAATAAGATTTTTTTATTAGAATTAATGAACAAATTTGATGAATTCAAAAACAATAGAAGGTTAAACTAATAATAATTTAGACTTTATTCTTTTTCGCCTATAACATTATTAAATAAATAGCTATGCTTACTTTACAAAACCCGACTTTTTAAAAACCCAAAAGAAAAACAGAAATGACCGAAAATGAAAGTTTCCAATAATTCTTTGCACTTCGCTTACATTTACTTTACATTTTTAATATACTTGTAAACTTTAATTTTTTCTGTCCCTGAAACAGAAACAAATTGAATAATCAGTGGTTTCTTAACTTATTATTAATTACTTCAAAGTGGTTTTAATTAATTAAAATTTTCATTCTCGGCTTTTAAACGAAGTTGATCGTACAGTCTACGTAGTTCTAAGTAGTCCTTATATTCAGGAATAGTTATTTAATATATCAGTTTTAATTGTTATCAATCTTGTTTCTAAAGTATAGTAAATACAACCTACAATTACAGTTGTAATTTCGTAATAAAACAATAGGGATTATTGAAATTTTCAGCTAATAGGCAAAGAAAAAAGAAAACAATATTATCGCTATATCCACACCATGTGTTTTTTTAGTTTTTTTTTTTCAAATTCAAGAATACTCGTCTAACTTCGAACTCAATAGAAGCCCTAATTCATGAGCGCGGTTCACGGCTGTATTGTGAGTAGAGTATATAATATGTAATTCTTTTAACTGTTCTTTTACTTATATTTATTTTGGTTTGATATGAAAATATTTTCTTTTATAAACTATAAACAAATAAAATGAAAAATTGTGAATTACATTGGTCCAGGTTTACAAAGTGACACAAGCACAGCATGATGCTAGCGGTTGGTGGATCCTATATTAGTCTACACACTGTTATGCCTTATCTCACAGATGCATTCCTTGCAGGTTTTAATTGAATTTTGAAAGTTAATTAAAACTTTACCTTTATTGCCTGCATATAATATAAGTTTCTTAGGTAAGAGTAGATATATATGTATGTTTTTATACATAAATATTCAATATAAGTCAAATTGTTCCAAGAAACGATCCGAAAAACAACTTACTTAAAAATAAGCTTTCTGAATTACCTCGGTTATTTTGAATTATGCCGCAAAATATTGATTTTGGGCAAAACTAATGCTCCAAAAACTTTCGAAATTAGCAAAAATATACGATTATTATTCTATTTTAAAAAATGTGTTCGTACATAATACTCGCAAAGAATAATATATTTAATAATATATATAGGATATATAATATTAACATATTTTACTGATCATAGGTATTTTATTACTATATTATGTCAAAAAAATGTTTTGTAATTAAAAAAAGCTCTTTCATTAACATTCGACAACATTTTTTGTCGAAGTTCCATCTCGTTGTTTCCTGATCTTGTTGTGCTCTGTTTAAGCCTGAAGCAGTTGTTCGATTTTGTGGAAAGAGTATTTTAAAGTTTTTGCAGAATGTTCTTGTTTTATTTATTTTAATCCTGAGTTCTCCGAGTAAACTTTGTAAGCCGGAGACGAATTTTCATTCCACAAAAAAGTATCACATTCCAATGGAAAATAAAAGAAAAATACTGGCCACAGAAAAAAATATAAAAAAAAAGATAAAAGGATGTAGAGTTAAGAAAGAATCCTGAAGTTCTAATATTATAAAGAGGAATAGTTTGATTTTTTTATTTGTAATGAATATAATCAAAATGTTACAGATTGTATTATATTAACAGATTTTTAAATTCTATCATATAAAGCTACGTTATGAGAATACTATGGGCTGAATTTTATTAAAAAAAAACGTGTGAAGCATTCGCGGGTTGCTAGTATAGAATAAATATGCTAATCTTACCAATGACTTCTTAGTAGTCTTGACCAGGAAACATGTATAATATTGCCTAAAGGCAGTCTTGTATCTATTAAAGTACGTAATTTGTAAATGTGCAAATGACGTTAATTTCCCATTATTTCATATTAGGTAGATCAAATTCATTGTATTACATCTTTGGTGTTTCTCCATTTGGAAAATTTATTCGAGTATCGTGTACTTGTCCCTTATAAAGTACATTAGCAAAATGGGAATGATAGCTCTCTGTTTAATTAATTCGAGCTTGTGACCTGAGGCTAATGTTCAAGCAGTGTTAATCTGTTTCAGTTAAACGAAGTGTGATTAATTGAAACAAAACTGCCTCAATATTGGCTTAGATTTTTTTTTATATTACTAAAACGGCAAACACGTATAAGGTCTACCAGGGGCGCACGTTGCCATCTCTGAAGATATCTTTGTTGTTTTTTAGTATCCCATACTGCAGTCTTTCGGGAATACCTCGTCAGGGAGTTCATTCCATAACCTGAATGTTTACTATGTATTCGTTATTTACCGTCTCATTAGCTAATGCTCTCGACTTATAGTGTATGCCGATTGTAAACTATGCCCCAGGAATGCATTATCACCATAAAATGTATTGTAATCTATGGTGGAAGATTTTAATGTATCTGACTTGGATAGGTGACATTCCATTAGGTATTTATTTTTAGCATGAACCAGCTTTTATTTTGTGGAATTATTGGCTGTACAGTTTTATCTCTATGTATATTTATTGGCTTATCAACCAATATAATATGAATTAGATCCCATGTAATAAGTTAGTATTTATGGATATGTTTGTTAGAGTGATTTATATGTATATATTAATAGAGTAGGTACTAAACAAATTTAAATGTCTAATTAACCATGCCATTTATTTGTTCTTAATTTGATTAGTTTAATATTTTATGCAACATAATATTTTTTTTTTTTTATATTAGGCACATTTTCTGTGGTCATGTTCAGTCTGATGGGTGAAGAATAAATATTATTAAAATACATAAGATCTTGGTTATATAGCTTTAGTACACAGTTTTATCTTTCTGCTTTGTTTGAAACTATGTGGCACTATGTAATATATAAGAGCAATATGTTATTTATTTATCATAAAATATATTTTAGTGTCAATGTACTGTATGGAAATGAAAGTGATCTCACTATTTTCTTCATAGCAAAATATGTTACTACTGACTCCGTGACTGGATAAGTAAATTGATTTAGATTATGATTATTTATTTATTTAATACTTTATTGTACACATTAGTTATAAAAATATGACAGAGGTAAAAATAAGTACAAAGGCGAGCTTAACTCTGATAGAGTTTTCTTCCAGCAAACCCAAAGTGGAAAGGAGCATCAATGTCAGCGGATACAGCAGTGTACAATTTTTAAACAGCCAAAATTAAATTAATTACATTATATTTTATCGCACAAATACACATATACATATACATAAATATATACCTACATCTATGCATATATATCGATTATATCGATATACTAGTTTTTTGCCCGCTACTTCGCACTTATCGGATTTAGAAACATTAAAATCAATGAAATAAACTACTATTAAATACAAATATCAAAACTGCGTCCAATTTTGTGTAGTAGTCTTTGCGTGATGTTATATCATATCGATCGTTAATTGTCCATTGCTGAACTTAGACCTCCCTCTATTGGGAGGTTTTATCAATAGTTGCCACGCTTGGTAGTCGAATTGGCAACCGTAGTTAAGCTTTTAAAGATGTTTCAAGAGGGACGCTGCTGCCCATCCCTCGTCTTCCCTTAGTCTACTGTTACAATACCCACGGGAAAGGAAGGAGTGGCCTATTCTATGCTGGGACTACACGGCAAATTTAAGAATGATAGCAGCCCAACTCTCGACCGTTCAGACTAATGTCTAACAATAAGGAGAATAATCTCAATCAATTATATTTATTATCATAATGTTTTCATTAACGTCCGTACCATCACGTAGATGTAGT